TGATGGAGCTCAGCTCAGACTATAATTAGTTTAGAAGTTCTTGCATTTAATGATACCCCCCCCCCCACATATCCCTTCATCCCATCCAGATGCCACAGTCCCCATTCAGTTGCCGGAGGGAGACGCCAAGGATAGACTTGGATTTGGCGAAAGGTCATTGACCTGAAACTTTTAACTCACTTTCTTCTCTCCATGGATGCTGCTTGACCTGCTGAGTGTTCCCAGCCACTTGTTTTTATTTCAGATTTCCAGCATCTGCAGGATTTTGCTTTTTATAGATTGGAATCGTCAGCCGAGCCTGTGATTCCAAGTAAACTGTATCTTCACATACAGGGAAAATGTCAGCTGGGCTCAGTCAGTGGCATTTGCCTCTGGGTTGGGAGTCCAGTGTTGTGGGTTTGTGCCCTGCATTAATGACATGAGCTCAGTGTCCAGCCTGAGATTCCAGTGTAACATTGCATTGGCAGATCTGCTAGTTATTAGCACAGATTCATATTCTTGCCAAACAAATTAAATTTCATCATGCGCTTGCCCACAGTGGGATAGTCACAATTGCTTGCTTTTAGGTGAATGGTTAGCAATAACCTTTAATAATCCTTACAATAATAATAATAATTTTTGCATTTGATACAGCGGTTTATCACGTCTTCGAGGCGTCTCAAAGCGCTTCACAGAATATACTGTAAAGTGAATTGACTGTATATTTTGTGGGCAAAACACGGCAGCCAACTGCGCACAGCAGCGTCCCACAATTGTAGATGTAGGCGCCTTATCACATCATTAAAATGTCTCAGTATGTTTCGTAGGAAGGTAGTATAGTGACTGTATTTTGTGGGCAAACACAGCAGCCAGATATTACACAAACAGCCATGAAGCAAATTACCAATTTGACTGGGAGATTGCCAGCCTGGACGCTGGAAGACGCTCTATTCTTTTTTGCAGAGAAGATGTAGTTCTGTGCATTGGCTGTCCTAACCAAAGAGGCTGAAAAGGAGGAAGACGTTCAGTGTAAAACAATCAATTCTGTACAAACATGGTTAAAAAAATAAACACTTTATTGTTTTAGAGCTTTTTTTTGGTTGTTGAGAGGAGCCAAGAAAAACTCGACTCAACCTTCAGCACAGTTCACTAATTCTGACAAGTTTGGAAGAATGGGCACACATCCACTCTCCTGTCAAAATAAAGATTTCACAGTTAAAGTACAACAGCAAAAAGGCACATTTAAATCAGGTCACGGGAGGAGAGGGGGGAGGAGAAAAGAAACAATTCCCATTTCAGCCCAATATAGTGCTTGCTCATCAGCTTCCACTATCTTCAGCACGTAGAGAAGCACCACACAGAGCTTTAAGATGAAACACGATTGAATGGATGTAAGTTCCATCGTCCTTTACTCAGTTTCTCTTTGAAAACGCATTAATCTAAACAGCCTAGAACCTCAACCGAAGGGATATGGATCCAATCTAATCCAAAGTGACTTGCTCCTACACTGACTGTCAAGCTGAGGTTGTGCTGCATTTTGTGAATTGTTCATACAAACTGGATATGGATAGTGAACAAGATTAAACCAGGCAGTCACCCACTTAACTTGGTTACATCTGCGAAAATTGGCGTTCTCTTGTCAACTGCCAAGTCCCAGACAACTCAAGCAATGCTCAATTCAGAATTGACGAAAGTTCAATGGTGCACCTGATGGAAGAACAGATTATTTAAGGCAAGTCGGGCCACGAGAGCACAGCCCTGCTCTGAGTGACATAGCTGGAGTTACAACCAAATGAAGGAAAGGAAATTGGTTCTAGATCCATGAGGGTTTTTTGGTCACACGGGTGTCTGACACTCAGAAACCCATCACCATGAGTAAGAGTATCCCAACCAATCAAGAGTTCCATGTACGCCACCTACGCACGGAAATTTCCATGTCTAGAACGGAATGTGTATTCTCTCCTCGGAGGGATGCACCCGTTTACCTAATTCCGGAGAGTACTAGGTTCAGGTTGGCAAGAGCGGAGGCTTGTGGACCCCAGAGTGTGCGTTTTAATATATAATAGTACAGTTCTTTCAATGATGATTCAAAAAAAACCTGGAAAAGGCAGAGTGAAAGCACATTAAATACAAAATCCATCACTCAGCCATATTACAACTAGACCAATAAATAGACAATAAATAGGCCCTACGCTGGAAATGAACTTTTTGAAAGAAAAATGCGCTGTATGGTATCTCTTCTGGGGGAGGGGAAGGAGGGTTTACACTGCTGAGAGGACACCAGGCCAGGTAGTAATCAAAGGCACTGGTTGGTGGTTGCCCAACCTGTCTGGCTCATCAGTGAGACATAGAGTAGACATGTGCTCAGTCCACGTATGCCAAAGCCACAATGGGAAACACCGATATCAACAGGCACTGCAAATATATCAGTGATTTTGTAAATATGTGCTATTCCACACACAACAGAAAGACATACCTGTCCATTTAACTTACATACCTGTCCACCTCTCGATCATCTCTTGTAGCTCACTTTTGAACTGTGTGGGTTGAGCAAGCGACTAGAGATAACCGAGAGACCTCAGCAAGTGTTTAGAATTTTTATAACATTCAAGATGCCTGGCTATTCAATGGAACAGACTTGCCCTAAAGCACAGCTTCCTTCCTGTGCTCCCCGTAAAGACTTTTAACGTGCGGAGGAAGGGACTGAGGCAGAGGGACTCCTGGATGTGCAAATGCATATTACAACTAGGGGCACGGACAGACTGGAGGGGCCTGTATATAATAGTGTAAATAATAGTGGAACCAGAAAAGCGGGTATAAAAGGAGATCAAGATCCAATACAACCAGCTTCCACTGCTGAAGCCGTCTCTCCCAAACTACACATTTCTTACAGTCTAAATTTGGATCCTACATCACAACCTAGAATCAGATTTTTCTGTTGCTTTTTAATCACTAAAAAAAGGCAAATGTATGTCTAGGTAAATGACCCCTTTGCACTTATTTGGGGACAGCTGGTTAATTACCAGTGAAAAAGGCACTCAAGTTGTAACATAAAGACAACTGAACCATGTAATCTAAAGCTACGCAAAGGCACTGCTCGAAAAGGGAGTTTCTCCCCGTGCTGGCCACCACCCAGATAGAATGAGTCACTCACTGCATGGCTGTTTGTTGCGACACTCCTGTGGCTGCTACATCTGTCTGCAAATCCACAATCACTCCACTCCACAGTAAATTCCTGTCAAGTGCTTTGAGATGTTTCGATGACATGATAAGGTGCTACATCAAGTGCAAGCGCTTATTATTACGCTGCATATTTTTGCTGGGCGGTTTAATATTAAGCCTTGATTTTTGGTTGAAATTTGAGAGTTGGTATAGGATAACAGCCCCATGAAAGCACCATTTCTTGTGCTCTGAACCGTTTCCATGGTAATATCAGTACTCTACCCCTTTGAGAACTAGAACAGAACCATTTTGATACCAGATGCAATGCAAATGATGTGAAAACCCTCCTCATAAAACTCTATTCAGAGTAAGATCAAATTAATCGTTTGCCAACTAACTCACCAACAGTAGAATGCACCTTACAGTCTGTTAGAAATTGGTCGCTCTAATCAGAAAGTCCCTATGTCTGAACTCCAATTCCCAATTGCACTTCTGGTTATATAGTTTAGCTATAGCGAAACGGTCTTGTGGGATCACATTGGTTGTGCTCTAACTATGCAGTCTATACCAGTGTGTGATGTAGTGAAGAACACTGAGTCAAAGATTCAGAGCCCTGCATTCCCACCTAGTATAATCCTTGAAGACCAGGTGAGATTTAAGACTGTTTTGTCTCAAAATTTAAGGTCGCACAAAGTTATGGAAAATTCTTACATGGAGTCGGAGCTTGGGTGTTGTTTTGTTGTACAACAAAATCTTGCAAATTAAGACAGGAGTTAAGCGTTTTCCATAATTCTGCACAATTTAAATTTTTTACAAAATAAAGACTAAGATTAGGTTGAATTTCAGGCCTCACGCCTCAGGCGTAAAGAACATATCTGCACACATTAGCTGCACACGGGGAAACAGACCCTGGCCTGATATCTTTGGTATTCGCCACTGTATCAGCTGGTAATTTAAAAACTTTTCTACGACAGTGGAACTGCCTATGTAACACAAGTCTCTGGGAACGAACATTTCAAAACTATTCCCCGCTTATAACAGGTTTTAGCTAGAAATGCTATTTTATGATTAGCTTGAAAACAAGTATAAATTAATGCAGACTGTCATTCAAAGACTGACACATCAATTACCATGTTGAGGTGTGCATGTTATTCCTGCAAACAGATGAGAAATCACAAGGTGTTGTGATAAACTATAGATATAAAAATTTATTGTACAGAATAGGATAACATTTAATGCATCTGTACTTGCATTTCTCTCATCAAAAATGTGTACAAAATAGATTTCACAATACCAGCAACTGATATTTCACCCTTTCACCAGCACTAACCTAGACAGCTTGAGATCTATAGTATGATTTTCAGCTGTGGGGTCTTTGGGGGAATTAAACAGGGTTTATCCTAGGAATCTTTTGCAAAATAAAAGAAAGAGCTAGCATCTCATCCAGCAGCACAAGCCAGTGACACTGAAAACCTTTTGTTGTTCACGTTACGTACATAATTTAAGATACATGATCAGACGTTCGATCCCCTTTACACTGACAATGTAAAATCCCTGGCAGTACACACCTCAACATGGGGACCAGTTAAGACTGCCTTCTTGCATTCCCCACCTCCCTATAAGAGATTTTTAAAAGTATGGTCTATTTAAATGAAGGGCACATTCAGTGCTGAGCCCCATTCATAATGGAATAGACCCAAATAATTTAATGATGTGAATTATCCTTGGTTTTCTCCATGACGTACTCAGACGTTAGTTACCAGTATTGGTTTGCCAAGTCTACATAATCTCATGAATGATGCAGTAACTCCCATTTTAAGTTTAGTGTATATACTTTCTGTAAATAGCCTGTTTTTTTNAATTATAAACAATAAATAATGTCATGTCTTTAAGACAAACTAAAGTCGCTTCCTCTTGGCTCTCATCACTTTCCTTTTCAGCTCTTCCTCCTCCTTTCTCAACTCTTCTTCATCTTCCATGATCCCCATCCGCAAGCTGGTGAAAGAGAGACAGAATGGCATTAATGTGTGTTAAGTGATGAGGAGACAGGGAGAGCAGTCGTCACACACTTAGCTTCTTGCTTCTAACAATCTTTCTCCTTCGGATGTGGCATTTGAATCGAGGTCCCGTCTGCCTGCTCAGGTGGATGTTAGAGATCCCATGGCCCAATTCGAAAAGAGAAGCGACTTTCTCTCTCCCAGTGTCCCAGCCAATAATCCCTCAAACGTCATTGCTGTGGAACATTTCTGTGCACAAAATACAGTCACTACACTTTACAGTAAATCCTGTAAAGCGCATCGAGACACTCTCCTGATGTGAATGGCGCTGTATCAAATATAAGTAATTTTGTTGAAAATAACACTTAGTTCCAACGGTGTGCATCTCAAACCTTCAGATTAAGATAGGCAATATTAAAGCAGTTTCCTCAAACATACGTTTGAACACTTGTTCTCCTTACCCCCAGCACAATACTGCATTGTACAATGGAACCTCCAGTTAAATTAGCCATTCACTTCATTGCTGCTTTTAGGAACTTGCCCCCCGTGAGTAAAACTCTGCTACCCTCAATAGTAATTCTCTATCAAACAGTTAGAATCATAATTATACAGCACAGAAGGAGGCCATTCAGGCCATCGTGACAGTGCCAGCTCTTTTAAAAGAGCTGTCCAAATCAATCCCACTCCCCCGCTCTCTCCCCATAGCCCTGCGAACTTGTCCTTCCTGAATAATTATCTACTTCTCCCTTAAAAGCTGTTATCGAATCGGCTTCCACCACCCTTTCAGCAAGTTGACATGATTTCTGTGTTATAGACATTATATCAAAGGCAAGGATTGTTTAATATCACTTTACCTCTTGGCCTCCTCCTTCTGCTGTTCTTTCCAGCTGCTCTCCATGTACCGCAGTGCATAGTCACTTTCATCCTTGTACCTGGCGGGCAATACATGAGCACATTAGAGAGCTGAAGGGACTGGCTCTGTGAATGAGCTAAGCCTGTGGTGCTATAGTACTATTAATAATAATAATAGTGTAGCCAGCTTCACAAGGTGCAACACTCAACAGTAATCAGTAAGACTAATCTTCAAATTGAAATCAACAAGCCACCGACTAAACTAAGTTAGTTAGGAAAGAGCAGAACAAGAAAATTAGACAAAAACAGCTATTTAATAAAGAGGGTTCTCCAGTCCTCTATTTGCTGAGTATCTTTGAGGCTCTCTTTTAAGTGAAAGGTGTGATATGAACGTGATTGCAAAGCAGCATTCTGCTTGGTTTAATGTAAGCAGTTAAAATCTCAAACATACACAGCCTCTGCCGGTTGCTCTGTAATGAGCTCCAGCGTGGCCTCACGTCACAAAATACGACAGTTGCAGTTTTGACATATCAGATGACCTAACCACAGAACAGGAGGTGAAACGGGAACTGCAAATCATGTTATCAGTACTTGATAAGAAGGTTTCCAAATAAACCTACAGTTTGCACAAAGCAATGCTTTCTGTGTAGAGCAGTGAGGATACAATGCTGGTTAAATTACGACCAATTTCTGTCTATAGATATTACAGGGAGAATCCAGGGATTAATGGCAGAGACGTTAGGCTTACTTGTTCTTGTCGTATCCAAAGATTTCACGGATGTGCTTTGAGATTTCATCTTGGGATTCTCCTCCATCGTCAATGAAGTCCTCCATTTCAGAATCGTATTCCTCATCCTCCAGCCTTCGCTTGTAGCCAGTAGGTAAAGGTGGCCTTGGAGGAGCTAGAGCACAAGGGCATGATTCAGCATCACAACAACAAATTGTACTTATATAGCACCCTCCATGCCTCAGAGCGCTTAACAGTGGCAGAGCCTGACTTCGAGTCGGGGGTGGGTGAGAATCCCAAGATGGGGGTGGTGACTACAAGCACGGTCAAAAGGGAAGGTTTTCAGGCGGGATTTGAAAGGCGGAGGGATTGAGGGAGTGTTCCAGAGATTTGAGATGTAGAAAACCAATAGCATTGGTTTTCTGCAGGAGCCAATCACCAAATTAATAAATTACTAGTAAGATTTTGTCCACAGAAATCAAAAGGAAGTCCACAAGGTCCCCTCTTTGTCTTCTCTGTGCTACTGAACACTCTGTAGGATGGTCTATTAACACATGACAAACTACAATTCTTCAGCTCCAACCTCCCACCACCTACAATATATATTGCAATAAATGACTTAATAATAATAATAATCCTTGCATTTGATACATCACCTTATCACGTCTTTGAGACGCCTCAAAGGGCTTCATGAACATACTGTAAAGTGAATTGATTGTATATTTTGTGGGCGAAACGCAGCAGCCAATTGCGCACAGCAGTGTCCCACAAACAGTCGTGGATTGAATGACCAAATTATTATTATTTTTTTGAAGGGATTATTAACCCCGGAAAAGAGATTCGCCAATCAACTAACAACCGGGTTCCTACTTACTGCCAGATAAACAGAGGCGTGTGGAGTAAGGAAACTTGACCAACGTTTCGCCCTGCCCGGGAATCGAACCCAGGTCTCTCACTTGCGAGGCGAGTGCTCTAACCACTGAGCTACATGACTCCACAGGACTAGTGTTAAGAAATTGGTCTTGTGGCCTTAGGAAAAGGTCAGAGCTGCCCAACAATAAAAGGTTATTCTGGGGCAGTACCTTGCGGTCGGATCATTGGCCGAGCTCCCGGTGGTCTCATCTGTCCACTGCTGGGCCGTGGGACGAAGCTTTTTGAAGATATGGTTTCCGAAACTACAGTGCACTTGGGTTTGGGTGCTCCAATTGCATTTCCAGGCCCAGGCACTTTCACGCTCCCAGACCGTTCAGGTCCTGTCTGTTGGGTGCTGCCAGGCACAGCTCCTAAAGAGTTCCTGGGTCGCACTGATCCCGAGCTGCCCATGCTCTTGTATCGGGCAGGGCTAGAGTCACGGGCAGGACTGGGCCGTGGAGCGACAGAATTGCTCATAACCTTTAGTCGCCCAGGGCCTGAGCTCCCTCCACTACTCACACGAGGGGCCCCTGAGCCACTGGCTTGAGAGCTGCCTGGTCGGGGCTGGCCTGAGCCATTTGTACCTCGAGATCGATCTGGATCTGGAGCGCGCACGCTTTTGGAGTGCGACATGCCTGCAGTACCAGAAACATCCTGTTGAACAGAGGCACCTGAACCTTTCCCTGATGATGAAGCTGAGAGACCGGGCTTTTTCTGCCTGTCCTTCGTGGGTGGTGCAGGCTGGCTTCCATTTGATCGTGGTTTGAGTCCTTTGCTTTGTGAGTTGGAGCTAAGCCCATGTTTTACTGAGCTGCTGCTCACCGCATTTCTCCCACTGTTGCTACTGGAGCTTTTAGAGACTGAGTGGCCGCTCGTGACCGAGGGTTTGGACTTCTCAATCACAGGTGTTTTACAAGGCGCTGAGGACGAAGACCTTTCACTAGAGGAAGAGGTTTTCAGCCTCTTGTTAACCACCTGAGCAGGGGATGCTGAGCTGCTTCCTTTAAATGGAGGCAATTTCTCTGCTGAGCTTTTGGATGAGGTTGTGGTTTTGATGTCTTTTGTCGATGGCTCTTTCTTGGAGGAGCTGCCCAAGTACGAGGAGGTGACTTCCTTTTCAGGTTTCCTCTTGCTGTTCTGTTTGTGCTGTTTTCGTTCCAAGAATTCCAGTTCTTTCAGCTCCTCTGCAGTGCGAAGCTTCTCTTCCACTTTTTTAACCACTTTAATTTCCACCGGCTCCAGGTGCTTCTTCTCAGCCAGCTTCAGAAGATCGGAGAAGTTCATGGGCGGAGGGGGCGGTTTCTTTGGTGCTTTGGGCTTCCCAGCCTCTCTAGGCTTCCCAGCCTCTCTAGGCTTCCCAGCCTCTCTGGACACGACTGCCGCTTGACAAGATTTCTTTGGCTCTTTACCTGGTCGGTGTGACTCTCTGTGTGGTTTATACTCTTTAGCTGACCGTTCTGGCTCTCTATGTTGTTTAGGTCGCACATTCCACTGCTCCTCAAATTCCTCTTCAGATTCCTCCCCCATCTCTGGCTCCTCTTCCTCCAACTGTACCTTATCATAATAATAATCTTCATCATTACACGGATCCACTCTTTTCCCCTTCCCTTCATCATCATCAGGACCCATCCTTTTGCCCTTTTCGTCCACAGGAATACCGTTGTAGCCTCTGAAATTGTCCTTTGTGCGGCTTGCCATCGCTCTGGCTTTACGGTCATGCTTGAGTTCAACCCGTTTTGCCATCAGCTCATCCTTTTTCTTTTTTTCTATAAGCTCTGTGAAAGATAACAGTTATTGAGTAATCACAAAACAAGATCCAGCACAAAGCCATTGCGTTTTACTGGGCACCTGCTTTAATTCGAACAGTTAGCTGAGTAGGAATTTGAGTGAGTTTACTGGTTCGAACAAGCAGCAATCGCTTGGTTATGCCTCATGTTTAATGTCTTGCAACAAGTTCCTGAATCACTTGTGGGAAGCATATACCAAGGTCTGCATGGAATGTGCTATTTACAAAACCTTGGTTTGCCAATGAATCACACTCTAATAACCTTGAATGTCAACTAAAGCAGACATCCTCTTTTGAACAAGCTCTCCAGTTCCCCTTTCGTGTTGAAAGCTCCTCATGCTGGTAAATATTAGCACGTAGAATCATAGAATTGTACAGCATAGAAGCCCATTGTGTCTGTGCCGGCTCTTTAAAAAGAGCTATCCAATTCAATCCCACTCCCTTCTCTCTTCCCATAGCCCTGCAAACGTGTCCTCCCCAAATAATTATCTACTTCTCTCTTATAAGTTGGTATCCAATCGGCTTCCACCACCCTTTCAGGCAATGCACACACCATTGAATGAAATCTCAGAACAGGATCTTTCCAAACACAAAGCAGATCCTGCCCCTTCTCTTTTGTGTCCGTTGGCAGCCAATTCACGCACAGCAATGTCCCGCAAACTGCCATAAAGTTAATTTTTTCTGGGGCAATTGCTGGCCAGGACACCGGGAGAAACAGTGCAAATGGATCTCTAATAACACTGGACTCTGAATAGACAGATGGGACCTCATCGAAAGATCAGCACTTCCAACAATGCATTGAAGTGTTCCTAGACTATGTGCTGATGTGGGACTTGAGTCTACAACCTTCTGACTCAGAAGTGAGAGCGCTATGAACTGAGCGAGGCTGACATCTCACCAGGTTAAGGTGCGCAGTGAAGATCATCTTCCCAACACTAGGATCAAATCAGTCGTCTGTTGGGCATCTAGTCGAGTTCTTGCCCTCCTCTCTCTGCGGACCACACGCACCAGTTCCCCGGGGAGAGCACATAGACAAGCAGGCCATACAGCAGCTATCACAGCCAACAGCACTCTGTCCGAGATACAAGCTCTCCAGCATAGCTCAGATGCAGCCAACAGAAATAGGGCTTTATAGCAAACAATCTGCCAGTTTACACAACCCCTGTAAGCCTGTAATACTTGATTAGGGAGAAAATAATTTTTAGACATGACCTGTACCCAACAGGTATAATGTTGGGGAACTCTAATGGTCTCCAAACTTACTTTCTCTTCAAACACATAAAATTAAATACTAGCCCTGCTCAGTGTAGATCAACTAAGAAATGCTGATAGCACCTTTTGTATTGTTTCTACTGGTGTCCTCACCTTTCGCCAAAAAGGTGCTATCATCAACACACTTGGTAATACAACAACAACAAGATTCCATTTATAGAGCGCCTTTCACATTGGGAGGACGTCCCAATTGCTGTAAAAAAATTTTAGACAAATACTTAGGCCACTTTAGGCAGGGCAAGGTCCCACAAAAAGCCATGATGTGAATTACCAATCAATCTGGTGGATTGATTTCTAGGAGAAACTATCTTTTCTTGTCGATCACTATCATTGTATCATATGTACAGACAGACAAGACCTTGCTTTAAGGTCTCATCTCAAGGACGTCACTGACAAAACTGCAGCGCTCCCCCATACGACATTAAGTCAGCCTAAACATTGAAATCATCTCCTGACAGGTGCTTGAAACCACAACCTTCTGAGCCAGGAGCAGTAACACCTGAGCCAAGCTGACAGTTAGCATCACAGACAGATGTTCCTCCACCACCACCCTAGTAGAGTTCAAACACTGCTTTTAAGGATAACCAATAAATCTCATCTCCTCAAGCCTCTTACCCTTTTATCCACAGCAACAACTGCTTATGGAGTGTACAAAGCAAAAGCTGCTACAATACAAATCAGAGTACAATGTTTGAGAAGATCCAACTCAGTGTTGGAACTGGCTCCCGGCCACACCACTAGCGTAGACGAAGTCGATCTGCGACACACTTACGTTTGCTTTTCTGCTCATTTTCTTTGCGTTTGAGGAAAGCTTGTACGGCAGTAGACTCTACCTTTTTCTTCTGCGGATCCTTTCTGGAAGGTTTCGCTGACAGGCTGTATCGTTTCTGTAAAGGCAAACAACCAAACTGTCAACACGCGTGAAAATGGTCTGGCCAACTCATGGTCTGTCTGTCCATGAAAATGGTGTTTCCCACAGTCCCCTTCTCAGAAATCAGGAATAATTTTCCCGGACCTCAAAGCTACTCAGCTGCCTCTTCCTCATCTAATCTACAGGCTTTTTAAACCCAAGCTGCTATCGTCTAACCTTGACTCGTGTTGTTTTCTCTGCTGCTCTCTTCAACCTTGGTGTAATGCATGATGGATCACTTGGGTTCTAGACACTTTGAAAAGATCATCAAGGTCTTTATTATTTCCCCAGATAAGTTCTGCCAGTAAAACTGGTCTTCTTGAACAAACCTGTACCACCTTAGCATATTGAGATATACCTCGGAGAGGCAGAATGCTACATAGTAGTTGGGTTTATAAGCAGGCGAGTAACAAATCTGCCGGGTGAGAGAACTCACGTCGAAAGGAGTTCCCTGAAGATGAAGAAAAGAGAATTCTTGTTCCGTCAAGGACTCGGGGGCCCTCATGCTGACAGAGGCAGATCCTAGGAGTCTAAACAGCCATTACATGTGCCTGGGTCAACAAGGTTACACAACAGACTGCACAGGCAAGAGCTGAACTGCTGTGAATTCATCCCGTAAACGACACAGAATGAGTCAAATGAGTCAGTAGCCTGAAGAACAAGAGGTGGTATTTGAAACAGAAGATCCTGGAGTGGAGTAAATAACTGTGTATCCTAGCATCTTTCATATTCCTGCCCATGCACACACATAAATACACTACACACACACACGCGCGCACGTGCGCACGCAAGTGTGCAGGAACAGGAAGGAAAGGTTGCTGGGATACACAACGCGCACTACACCCCAGCTCTGGGAATAGCGCTTTGAAGCACTCTGAGACGCCGTCCGGCGTGGAGGGCGCTATATAAATGCAAGTTGTTGTTGAATAGCACACGGTTTTCACTGTGACATCTTCCAGGAAACCTGCACAGAAATCAGTCAGTGGTGTTGCTGCGATAACACAAGCCTCTCGCTACCGAGACTGAAACTCTCCACAACACCTACTGATGCATAAACCTCAGTAATGTTATTAAAATCTAAATCGGGGTGGAATCCCTCCAAGTCAGGGGAATCCCCCGGAACCCAAAATCTGACAGTTCAACAACTCTGTGAGCTGAAATAGCAACACTGAACAGGCGGTCCTTTCAGATGAACAGGTGGTCCTTTCAGAGGCTGTTTATTGTGGAGCATATCTACATGTTACACAGTACAGTAGAGATAAGCAGCATCTCCCCAGGGTTGCACTTGCTCTGATGAGACTTGGCAAAGTCAGAAAAGCCATCTGCAATCCAAGACATTGTGCACGTTGTCGCAGCAGTGGGATTTGGAGGCAGTCTTGTGTAGATGCATTCTCAATCCTGAAAGCAGTCCTAGCTAGACAAGCAAACAGGACGGTCCCCATTACCTTAAATATGTATGTCGCGTCAGCAGAACCCTCCATACTATAAAAAAAACTTTAGAGACAAGACATTGTATTGCTATACTAGAAATACCAAATCTGTATGTCCAATTCCTCCTCCCCTCCTCCCCTGTGTTTCTTAGTACTGTTGTAGAGAGGAATGAACTTTAGCGATTATATTGCTGTAGATTACTATTGCTTCATCGCGCAGCTGAAGTGTGGCATGGATCGAGGCCTAGAGCAAGGCATCTGCCCAGCTACTGGCTGTGAAATCAGGGATAAAGGAAATGTAAAGAACCATGTTAACAAACACTAAGCTTTGACCTCAAGAGCATAGGATGTCATCTTCAACAAGGTAACTATGTCTAGGTTCAAATTTGCTGATAACAAAATTAAGCTTCTGGGCTTTACTTCATAAAAAAGTATCCTGCTATAAAAAAAATTACTAACATTTCATTGAACTATTAACAATGATAATCCTTGAATTGGATACAATGCCTATAATGTCAAAACATCTCAAAGGGCTTCACCAGGACATGTAGTGACTGTATTAGTAGGAAAACATGGTGGCCAAACACCTTCACGCCAACCATAAAGCGAATAATGTCAATATACATTAAGTATCAAGAAGCATAGGATTTGTAAAGTTGCATGGCCAAAGTGTAAAAGGACACACTATATGTACAGTAATGAAACAGAGTGGTACATGAAGCTAGCTTCTCTCGATGTATCCTGAGTAACTGTGGTCACTTTTGGAGTCAACTTCTGCTACTATTTAAGATTCATGAACTGCTGCTGTAATTTGCATCCTCCTAGTCAGCCGCTTAGCCAAATATCAAGTAGCAGTTTGGACTTCAGTTGGTTTGAGGCACTGCAACTATTTTAGGACCAACTGTCGCAGCTCACAAGGCTGTCATGTCAGTAAGGCTCTACCAGCCGTTGGCTCACTGAGCAAATGAACATGGCTGTAGCTCAGCGTTACTTATGACTTACTCAACAATTCGACAATCTTGATGTCAACTTTGCAGTATTCCTGCATTCTTATTTGAGGTACAGATATGAATGGAGGAATACTGAAGAACAGCTACAGTGGGGCTCTTTTTTGAGATGGGTTAGATTTCAGCGAAGTCTCCGTTTCAGGCTGTGTGTGGAAAGCTACTCCCGTGGGTTACTGGGGTAATTCCGATTTTGTGTTGGGCTGGTATTCCCCAATTGAGCTCGGAGAAGCCACTTTTGGCAGTTCTAAATGACCCCCTACTAAAGTGTGATCCAAAAGGGCAGCATTGCAGGAATTTTCAGTCACACAATTATTCAAAAGTCAGGGGGGAGGGGGGACACAAGTGGCTAAAAATTAAAAGCCTTAAAAACAATCTTTGAAGAAGAAACAGATTTTGTACTGGGATACTGCAATTCTGACCCCCCCCCCCCCCTGTTGCAAAGAACCCTGCAGCTAACTGTCCACGTAACCAACCACACCTCCTGCAAACACAATCGGCCACTTGCAAGGCTAGTCCAGCACAGTAAATAAAATAAAAGCAGAATTACAGAGGGCTTCGTGGTAACGTCACGTTCACCTGAGCAAAAAAAAAACCTTGAGCACAGTTGAATACTTTAAGGTCAGACAATAGCTTGAAAGCGGCTTGCCTCTGCAGTATTCATGAAGGAAAAAGTGCTGTGTACGCAGCTGCCTTTTGCTGTGCAGTCAAAGACCATTCTAGCTGGATGCCAAACTAGCTCAGTGTAACAGTTGCCAGTCACAGTTGTACCCAGCCGTTCATTCACCGGTACAAATGGGGGTGGTGCGAGACTGCTTCATTACAACATACAGTAATAGTTTAAAGCTGCAATATTCAATACATATGAAACTCAAAAGGTGCTCCATACTTTTAAAGTCACACTTCCAATACCCAGTTTTATTGGTGGAAGTGCAGTAGCACAAAGTGACTTCCGCTCACTCTGTACTGCTGCATGTTGGAGCTTGCCAAGAAGTTAATGTTCACACAATTCACTGAAACAATCTTGCTGTTCAACAGGACTAGCTGAAGAAATGGACAAAATAAAAGACCAACAAACTTAACATTTCAATGCTGGGTTCATGCCATTCCCAGACTGTGGACACGTATTAGTATAAATAACACCTGAAGTGGATGTGGTTGTTCATTACAGAGTATACTTGATCCATAGATTCAGCATACCATTCCGATCACCAATTATGTTTACGTACATTAGACAACACAAGCACACTTTGTATACAAACACTGCTCCCTAAAAGGAACCAGAGGAAAAAATATTTACACTGGAGACCAAAAGAAAGCAATACCAACATCTACAACACATTATACAAAAGGACCTCACATACACTCCACATGGGACCAAAGATCTGACTCCACCTGCGACCAAAGATCTGACATGAACAACCATACTGAGTGTATGTGAGATCCTCTGGTACAATGTGTCTGAGGTACCTCACACAACATCAAGCATCAACACGGCTGATAGACTCCAATACACTCTGTGTTTAGGTGTGTGGGCAGAGAAGGAAATAGCTTGTATTTTATGCTACCCTCTCAAATGAAATGTCTTAAAACATTTCA